AAAGGGAGCAGGGAGTCTGCTTCAGGAGCTACAGCTCCACCAGAGTTAAGTTGCTGGTGGATATCAGCAACTTTAGATGTAAAAAAGGACATGAGGGAGTTACAAAAAACAGTAGAATACATATGGGAGAGAAAATAGTCCGAAGGCCTAGCAATATTATTAAACAGAGAAAAGAGAGACTTAGGGTTACATTCACTAGAGCAGATTAAACCAGAGTAGTATGTGGATTTGGCTGAGGCAATGCAGTTCTTATAAAGCAGAAAATTATTATTGTACAGTTCTTTGTGTATGGTGAGTCCAGTTTTCTTGAAGAGGCATTCCAGTTGGTGTCCTTTAGCTTTAGGATGGCACAAGGTGGGAGTGAACCATGGTGCTGAGCGGGTGAAGGAGACTGATCTCTGTATGGAGATATGATTTCTCCACCATGTTCTGGGTCTGCCCCAGGGTGTCTTCCTGGTTGTTATTTAGCAGTTATTCTGACCCCCCACCTAGGACCAGTTTATTGCGGGAGTCCCTACCAGGGGAAAATAGCTTCTAGGATCACCGGGACACAGAAACACCTCCACGATGATAAGGTGGCGATTCATATAGGGGATATAAGCTCAAAATGACAAAAAAATGTTTTAGTGGTAATATGAATGTTGTTGATTCAACTACATGATACAATGGAGATTTAAACAGGTATCATTGTGTTTGATTAATTCATAAAAGTATAATTTAAATAATGGTCAGTGAAAATCTTTTCATAATATAAACAGTGACAAATATAATAGTGATAAATACAATCTATTAAAGATTCAAGATTTGGAGCGTTATTGTAACGTGCACAGAACACAATGTTCTAAGTAATAATACATTTGGTAATAATAATAATAATAATAAATTTTATTATTTTATTTCTAATGCACTTTTCATTAAAACAAATCTCAAAGTGCTACAGAGTAAGTAAAAGAAAAAAAAACATCAAGGAAAAGCCTTTTTAAAAAGGTGGGTTTTCAGGCCACGTTTAAAAGTGTGCACGGTCTGTGGTGCCCTCAAATGGACTGGGAGAGCATTCCAAAGGCGGGGAGCGGTTGAGCAGAAGGTCCAATCCCCCATTGTGTGGAGTGTAGTCCTAGGAGTTTTAAGGAGGTAGGAGGAGGAAGAGCGAAGGGAGCATGAAGAAGAGGTCTGAACAGTGATGAGATCTTTGAGGTAAGAGGGGGCAGTTCCATGAACACATTTATGGGTGAGGAGTGAGACCTTATATTCAATGCGGAGTGAAACAGGGAGCCAGTGAAGTGTCTTGAGAAGAGAAGTGATGTGGTTGAATTTTCGGACCCTCATCAAAATTCTAGCAGCCCTGATCTGGATGTGCTGGAGTTTTTGAATGTTCTTACTAGTTGTGCCAATGAGAAGTGCATTGCAATAGTCCAACCTGGAAGAGACAAAGGAGTGGACCAATCTTTCAGCATCTGCTAAGGTCAATGAGGGACGTAGTTTGGCGATGTTCTTGAGATGAAAGAATGAGGTCTTACAGAGCTGTTGGATGTGGGCTTCATAAGTGAGGTGGGGGTCCATTTTTACACCAAGATTGGTTATAACTGAGGATAGTGGAATATCTTGATTAGAGAAAGTGATACCAGTGACGGTGGAGGTGCGAACCTGGTGCTGAGTGCCGACTATAATGGCCTCTGTCTTGGAGGTGTTAAGCTGAAGAAAGTTAAGCTTCATCCACAACTTTATCTCCTCCAGGCATGTGGTGAGAGCTGTAGGTTGCAAAAATGTCTTCAAATGAAGCTGCGTGTCATCAGCATAACAGTGGAAAGATAAACCATGTCTGGTGATAATATGACTGAGGGGAAGCAGGTATAAGGTGAAGAGAGTCGGTCCTAGCACCGAGCCTTGGGGGACACCGAAAGTAACAGTGTGGGAGTCAGATATACCTTTTCCCAGGGCGACATACTCGGTTCTCCCTGAGAGATAGGAGAAGAACCAATTATAAGCGGAGTCAGAGAGGCCATTGGTGGCATGTAACCGGTGCAATAGGATGTTGTGGTTGACGGTGTCAAAGGGGCGGACAAATCCAGAAGAATAAGAAGGGAAGGAGAGCCAGCATCAGCTGTCATCAGCAAGTCATTTGTCAGCCTTACCAGTGCTGTCTCTGTGCTGTGGCCTTGACAAAAACCAGACTGAAATGTTTCGTATAAACTGATCAAGCTGAGATGATTATGAAGACGAGCTGCCAATACTTTTTCCAGCACTTTTGAAAGAAATGGGAGGTTTGAGATGAGTCTATAATTAGCTATATTATCTGGATCAAGTGTGTGTTTTTTAAGAAGTGGCTTAATGATAACAGTTTTTAATGCATGGGGAACAAAACCAGCCTGAAGAGAAAGGGCTGATGGCAGCAAGATTAGACTTAACCAGTGCTGTGGGAGGAAATGGGTCCGAAGCAGAAGTAGATGGTTTCATCTTTGTAATGATGGCCTCAACCTCCTGCTGTGTGACAGTGGAGAGGTAGCTGAGAGAACCGATAGGCCCTTGCAGTGAGTCGGTCGGCATGGTAAAGGTGGTTGATGAACTAGAGCAGGGGTGGCCAATCTTATCCACAAAGGGCCGGTGTGTATGCAGGTTTTTGGGATAACCTGTAGGTCAGCTGTTCAAACCCAGGTATGAGGACTCTTCAGCCAATCAGTCCTCTAATTAGTGACCTAATTAGGGAGTTGCAGCAAAAACCCGCATACACAGTGGCCCTTTGCGGATAAGATTGGCTTCCCCTGAACTAGAGGGACAGGAGAGAAGGGACCGGATGGTTCCTATTTTATTTCTGAAGGAATTCATGAAATTATTGCAATTTTCCACAGTAGCATCCGAGTAAGAAGTGGTTTGCGGCTTGAGAAGATGGTTGATCGTGGAAAAAAGCTGCTTGGAATTGCCATGATTGCTATTGATGATGTTGGAATAGAACTGGGTCCGTACGTCTTTAAGCGATTTAGCATAGGCCTTCTGATGTTCCCTAAAAGCCTGCTTGTGTCCAGTCAACCCTGAGGCCTTGCAGCGTCGTTCGAGGACACGTCTGACTGACTTCATCCTCCTAAGCTCAGTAGTGTACCAGGGTGCTGAGCGTGAGAAGGTGACTGTACGGGTCCTGACGGGAGCGTGGCAGTCAAGAAGGCTTGACAGAGACTGGTTGTAGAAGTCCACTGTTTCCGTCACTGTGTAAAGAGCAACAGAGCCAGACAATACGCATTGTAGGTCCAGAACCAGGGAATCAGGATCATTGTTCTTTATAGATCTAAAGTGGATTTGCCGCTTCGGTTTGCAGTGGGATGAGCAGGAAAGAGGCAACTCCATGAAAATGGCTTTATGGTCAGACAGCCCAAGGTCACATACTTGCAGGTTTGTCATCGGAACGGAGTTGGTTATCACCAAGCGTGTGCCCCTTAGAATGAGTGGGAGCATCAACATGTTGCTGCAGATTTAGACATGAGGAGGTGTCCACATGAATGTTTAGGTCTCAGAGTATCAGAATGTTGCCAGAGATTGTGCAGAGTGTACTGAGAAAGTCCTGAAATTCTGGAAAAAAAGCTGAGTTAATTTTAGGTGGACGATAGATGAGAAGGAGGGTTAATGACAGAGGAGGCTTACATTTGAACGCAAGGCATTCTAATGATGACAACACAGGTAACGGAAAGGAGAAGAACTCCAGGTCCTGACGAGGTATGACAGCAAGACCACCACCACGTCCAGTGCTGCGTGCCTTCTCGATGTAAAAGTAACCAGGGGGGCAGGCTTCATTTAGAGATAAGAATACTCCAGGCTCATGCCATGTTTCAGTAAGGCACAGGAGATCTAGTTCCTTTTCAATAATGTGATCCCATATGAAGGATGCTTTGTTTGACAAGGACTGTGTCAAGGACTGTGAACTTTTTAGTTCAATTTTGACCAAAGAAGGAACAGCAAATTGTTGTAGCGGCCGTAGCACACTCAGTTCCACTACGCGGATCCAAATTGCTCCAGGTTTTTGGCCAAGCCCAGAGGGCAGCCGTCTCACAGCAGTACCCATGTTACATAGATCACACGCAACAATGTTCTGATGACATGTGCAGCGTGCGTGGGTTTTCAGCCAGAGAGCCGGGATTCCTGAGGCAACGTGGTTGAAGTGATGCTAGTAGAAAAACTTTCTCCGGGAGCTTCTATGGATGTAATGAGGTCGGCATAGAAGTCCAAGCTCCTTGATAATAGACATACATGCTGGTCGGCTGTATGTATTCAGATTCAGGAGATGTGCAGCGGAGTAGTTAATCGGCATGCCCAGAGTTTCCGGAGGGTAAGTCAGTACTTATGTCAATGGCAGGGAAGAAGAAAAGTGCAGCAGGTTAAAGACCATAAAACAATCCGTAATGATTCAAAATTTAGGCAAAACTGTGTAAAACTGTATAAAAACGGCAGGGAAAAAACGGAAAAATGGCAGGGAAAGCGACGACACAGCACGCCAGCGTCCTCCCCAGAGCTTGTTGCTCGTTGCCAACAAATCAGACTTTGCTTAAACCTGTCATCTATAATGCATTACAGATAACTTCATGGTGCATTATAATGGCTGATGTAACAATTAATAAAGAATTACAGCATATTCTTGACAATCATGAGGCATTATACTGTTGATTATAATACTTCATAAGCTCCAGCGAAACTCTCATCTAAAATGCACTATATATACCTTCATAATGAATGAATGAATGTTACATTTATATAGCACTTTATAAAACCAATGGGGAGCCACTTCATCCAGCAGCACTCTGTTGCACCACCTGAATGATGTGTCATTCTGAGCCAGTACGCTCCCCACACAGTAACGAAGGTGGTGAAGCGGCAGGAGAGAATATGATTAGGAGGCCAGATTTGATAGGGTCACAATGGGCAATTTTAGCCAGGACATCAGGAAATGCATAATAGTGGATGGAATAAGGATTAAGGATGTAAATACATCTTTTTTCACACAAGATGTTTTATTTCAGCTGAAGACGGATTTGCTAAATGGACAAGTAAGTGTTATTAAATTAAGCTTCTGACTTCTGAGATGGATGAAAGTTTCCCTTTTCTGTCTCTCAAAATATACTGCCGGCATTATTCTGCTGAGAGTAGATGGTATAGACTTGTTTAAAGGAATAAATGTCCCAACATCATTATATTAGGAAAAAAGAGGGAATCATATATGAAGAGACGTTGCACATTTCATAATTGTGAATGAGAGTGAACCTGCAATATGACATCATTAATGAAATCCGTTTAGGCAAACAAGGAGCTGTCAGACAGCCAGTGTGGAAGTGGATCCGTAAATCAGCAGGTAGGACTGAGTTGATTTAAAGCATAAAGGAATCATTTGTAGATGTACCATACTGTACTGTCTACTATGTCATCTCTGTTGCAGGATGATCTATGAAGGAACCCAAAGTAACACATATTTATTATCTACAGCTAATGTCATTCTGGACCCCAGAACAGCACAACGTAATCTTACCGTTTCTGAGGACGGCAAACAAGCGAGATTCAGTGGCCGCCTCCTACCTGACAGCCCACTGAGGTTCAGTAATTGGTACGGGATCCTGGGAAAAGAGAGTTTCTCTTCAGGGAGACATTACTATGAGGTTCAGGTTGGGGCAAAGACATGTTATGTGGTTGGTTTTGTGAAAGAGTCTGTTGAAAGGATGAAGAATATTCAGAAAAATACAGAGAATGGCTTCCTGGTCTTCAAACTAGTGACGAAGGACTACAATGTTTCTACAACCCCCGATACCTCTCTCTCTCTGAATGACCCCCCTAAGAAGGTGGGGGCGTATGTGGACTATGAGAGGGGGCAGGTTTCCTTTTACAATGCGGACACCAGGTCCCATATCTACTCTTTTACTGGTTACAACTTCAGTGAGAAACTCTATCCAGTTGTTAACCCCTGTAGTGCTTTGCCATTAGATCCACTGATCATCTCTCCTGTCAGTCACACAGACTGATCTGAAACAGCAGTTTCCACACAGATGAGGATTAATAACTGTGCATTTGATGATTATAATATTGTGCTTATTTTTTCTACATGCTTTGCCAGTGCCAACAACATTAACTGAACAATGATTACATACATACTATCTCCCCCTGAATCTACCACATATCACCTGCCTGTGAATAGTGATCAGGTGATTTTAGTGGATACAGATATTTAATGATTTTAAATACAATCACAGGTTGCTTGCATGCTTATTTCAAATATCATTCTTTATGTCTGCTGTTAAAAAATGTTTCCTTTGGTTTGTTATCTCATTTTATATTAAATGCAAGAGTTTTACTTATTCATTTTTAAGTTTACCTTGTTGTTGAAGAGTATCAGCTTTTGTATAAATAATGATTATTGGGGTACAAGTACCAAAGACCTATGTTTTAGCATTGTTTTGTCGGGAATTGTGTCATGATTCAGATTCACCACCTGATGGCAGCAGAGAGATCATACTCCGGCAGAACCTGTTATCATTGAGTAATACCTGATGCTTGTTTGCCATAATTATGCTCCCTTTAAATACAAGCTTATCCATCTCTGGTGTGCTGAGTCTTGATGTGCTAATTTCTACATCCATCCATCCATCATCTACCCCTTGTCTGGGTCGGGTCGTGGGGGCAGCAGTCTAAGCAGGGAAACCCAGACTTCCTTCTCCACGGCCACTTCATCCAGTTCCTCCAGTGGAATCCTGAGGCGTTCCCAGGCCAGCCAAGAGACATAGTCCCTCCAGCGTGTCCTGGTTCTTCCCCAGGGCCTCCTCCCAGTGGGACATGCCCGGAACACCTCACCAGGGAGGCGTCCAGGAGGCATCCTAATCAGATGCCCAAGCCACCTCATCTGGCTCCTCTCGATGCGGAGGAGCAGCGGCTCTACTCTGAGTCTCTCCTGAATGACTAAGCTTCTCACCCTATCTCTAATGGAGAGCCCAGCCACCCTGCGGAGGAAACTCATTTCGGCTGCTTGTATTCGTGATCTCGTTCTTTTGGTCACTACCCATAGCTCATGACCATAGGTGGGGGTAGGAACATACAGTCATGTGAAAAAATTAGGACACCCCATTAAATGTTTAGTTCTTTATTAAGAAATATCAACATATCACTATTAAATCTTCTTTCAAATCATATGTGTAGATAAAGGTGATGTAACTGTATCACCTATGCAAAGAAAATAAACAAATTCACTTATTTAACAGAAGAAATTAACTATGATGCCAATTTCCACTTAGGAAAAAGTTAGGACACCCTCACATACATTATTATTTAAAATGCCTAGACTTAGATTCAGGTGGCACCACATCAGGTGAAAATGATTAGAACATTATTACAGAGCTTTTTGGTGGAGTCTGTCTTATTTATACCATAGACATTTAGTTTGGTTTGCTCTTGATTGTTGAAATGAGTGGGATCACCATGGTGAGATCCAAAGAGCTCTCTGGCAGCTGTACCTGAAGTTTCTGACCTGTCTGTGCTAGAGGTCCCTGTCCTGTCGGCGCCTGTCCTGCCTGAACTGCCTGTCCTGCTTGTTCCGGCGGCCGCTGTACCGCCTAGTGAGGCTCCGGCTGCTGCCGCTCCCCCTGCTGGTCCCGAATCGGCGGTGCGTGCTGCGGCGCCCCCTGCTGGCCACGAGTCGGCGGTGCGAGCTGCGGCGCCCCCTGCTGGTCACGAATCGGCGGTGCCTGCTGCACTGCCCGAGGCTCCAGTTCCTGCTCCGATCCACCAGCGCCTGAGGTCCCGGCGCCGCCCACGCCGGAGATCCCTGCTATGCCCATCTCGCCTGCCCAGCCTGTCTCACATGCAGCTCTGCCCGAGGCAGCTCCTGCTGCGGCTTCGCCCGCCTGCCTGCTGTGACCTCGTCTGCCACCCATCCACCTGTCCTGCCTGTTTCGCCGGCTCCGCCTGTCCTGCCTGTCCCGGAGGTCGACGCTCCGTCTGGGGAACCCGCTGCGCCTTCTACTTCGCCCGGGGCACCCGTTGTAATAATAATAATAATAATAATAATAATAATAATAATAAATTTTATTTATAATGCACTTTTCATTAAAACAAATCTTAAAGTGCTACAAAAGTAAAATCAGCACATAAAAACACATAAAATCAGCAATAAAATGCTCGTTTAAAAAGGTGGGTCTTTAGGCCACATTTAAAAGTGCACCAGCTTTTCTGCATCTGCCAGGGTGAGTAATGAACGAAGTTTGGCGATGTTCCTGAGGTGGTAAAAAGAGGTTTTGCATAGCTGTTGGATGTGAGTATCGTAGGTGAGATGGGGGTCCATTTTTACACCGAGGTTGGTGACAACTGATGATAATGGAATGTCCTGATCTGAAAAAGAGATACTGGTGATGGTGGTAGTGGAAACTTGGTGTGGAGTGCCGACTAGGATGGCCTCAGTTTTGGAGCTGTTTAGCTGCAAAAAGTTGAGCTTCATCCACGCCTTTATGTCCTCCAGGCAGGTGGTGAGAGTGGCAGAATGCGAAAGTGCAGAGTGGTTGGGGTTGTTAAAATCCATTTTTAAGTAAAGCTGTGTGTCGTCAGCGTAGCAGTGGAAAGATAGTCCATGTGTACTGATAACACGACCAAGAGGGAGCAGATAAAGGGTGAAAAGAGTTGGTCCTAGTACCGAGCCCTGGGGAACCCCACAGGTGACAATGTGGGTATCTGATGGCTTTCCCCAGGGCAACGTGCTCAGTTCTTCCCGAGAGAAAGGAAGAGAACCAGTCGTAGACGGAGTTGGAGAGGCCGATGGTGGTATGAAGGCGGTGCAATAGGATATTGTGGTCGACGGTGTCAAAAGCGGCGGACAGATCCAGAAGAATGAGAAGGGATGGGGAACCAGAATCAGCTGTCATGAGCAGGTCATTGGTCACTCTAACCAGCGCTGTTTCCGTGCTGTGGCCTTGACGGAAACCAGACTGAAATGTTTCATATAAACTATTTAGTTTAAGATGGTCATGAAGTTGGGAAGCCACTACTTTTTCCAGCACCTTTGAGAGAAATGGGAAGTTAGATATGGGTCTGTAATAAAAAAATTGATCAGGATCTAGTGTCGGTTTTTTAAGAAGTGGCTTAATGACAGCATTTTTGAGTGCAGGTGGAACATGACCAGCTTGAAGGGAAAGGTTTATCACTTGGGTAATGAGGGGGCTGATGATTGCAAGATTGGATTTTACCAGAACTGTGGGGAGGGGGTCCAACACGCAAGTGGATGGTTTCATCTTAGTGATGATTGCCTCAACCTCTTGCAGAGTAACGGTGGAAAAGTGGCTGAGAGGTCTGGTTGGTCCCGGCAGTGAGTCTGATAGAGTGGTGAAAGTAGCTGATGGGCTAGGAGGACTGGAGAGAAGGGAGCGGATGGTTATTATTTTATATCTGAAGAAGTTCATGAAGTTATTGCACTTTTCCATAGTGGCATCCGAGGGAGAGGTCGTTTGTGGCTGGAGAAGGTGATTAATGGAGGAAAAAAGCTGTTTCGAGTTCATTTGGTTGTTATTGATGATATTGGAATAATACTGGGACCGTGCATCTTTGAGGGATTTGATTGATTGATTGATTGATTGATGAAACCCTTTATTGCTGTTGCAATACACCTTGTCACTAGTCACAAGTACCAGCGAAATATTGGCTATCAACCCGACCATACATATACGACACACGTACATAGTCACCACAGCTCACAACACCAAAGTCGAGACTTGCAACAGGGG